CCCCCAATATGGAAAGATGCTGCCCCACCACATACCAATGTGCACACAACTGTACACTTCTTCTCCCTTTTGCTGCTGCCAACCACATTTCGTCTCTTAATCCTGCTCCATTCTCTAGAGAGTTATTTACTATTACTAAAAATCCTTCCTTCCTTCCTTCCTTCCTTTCCTTCCTTCCTTCCTTCGTTCCCTCCCTCCCTTCCTCCCTCTCCTTTCTTCCCTTCCTTCCTTTCCTTTCTCTGATTCCTGCAATACTTGTCTGTATCTGCCACACAAATGGAAGCTCTCCATTGGCAGCAACCTGGCCATGCTCAGTATTCTCAGAGGGTTCTGCAGCATTTGTGCGGAACAATTCTTCATTGGGAAGCTGTCATCCACGTCTCTGGACATCAATGCCAACAGTGCCCTTGTCATCAATCGACAATCCCCCGACACCCTCCACAATGTCCTCTGGGATACGTGTTCACAGGTGTATCCCCAGCGCTAAGAACACTGTAGGTGCGATATATATATATATATTTATTGAATAAGTTAATTAGGAATAAATGAATCAAGATTGTTAGTCTGTAAGGGAAAATACTGAATTTGAAAGCAGTGAGTTGAAGTTTTCTTGTCAGTTTAAATAAGCAGTTCACAATCTCAGCACTACTAACATGTGAACCAGATAATTCTTTGTTGCAGAGGCTGTCCTGTGATTTGCAAGATGTTTAGCACCATTCCTGCCCTCTACCCACTGGACGCCAGTAGCACCCTCCTAACCAGTGGTGCCAATTGGGAATGTTTTTTGATGGTGCCAAATGTCCCCTGGGGGCAAAACTGACCCTGGTTGAAAACCACTGGTTTAATCAGTAAGTTTTTATTTTTGCCAAAATAAAATAGTTCCTTTGCTCATATTTTAAAAACTAGAGGTTTACCCAGGCAGACTTGACACATACTTTCTGACATACTAGTTAAGTCATACATACCAAATATGTGAGATCCCACCAAAGGAATGTTGACAAGCTAAATGTTTGCCTCTAACATTTTGCCAGCATTATTCATCTAACTCTAATGAAGGGTCCATAGCTCAACATCACTGATCATTAGAGAAATGCAAATCAAAATCACAATGAGATACCATCTCACACCAATCAGAATGGCTACTCTTAAAAAGTCAAAAAATAACAGATGCTGGTGAGGTTGTAGACAAAAAGGAATACTTATACACTGTTGGTAGGAGTGTAAATTAGTTCAGCCATTGTGGAAAACAGTGTTGTGATTCCTCAAAGAGCTGGAAAACAGAACTACCATTCTACTCAGCAATCCCATTACTGGGTCTATACCCGAAGGAATATAAATTGTTCTATCATAAAAACACATGCATGTGTATGTTCATTGCAGCACTATTCACAATAGTAAGCTCATGGAATCAAACTAAATGCCCATCAATGATAGACTGGATAAAGAAAATGTGGTACATATATACCAGAGAACACTATGAAGCCATAAGGAAGAAGGAGATCATGTCCTTTGCAGGACCATGGATGGAGCTGCAGGCCATTATCCTTAGCAAACTAACGCCGGAACAGGAAACCAAATACTGCATGTTCTCACTTACAAGTGGGAACTAAATGAGAACACATGGACACATAGAGGGAAACAACAGACACTGGGGCCTATCAGAGGGTGAAACAGTGGGAGGAGGGAGAGCATGAGGAAAAAATAACAAATGGGTACTAGGCTTCATACTTAGATAATAAAACAATCTGTACAACAAACTCCCATAACACAGTTACTTATGTAACAAACCTGCACATGTACCTCTGAACTTAAAAGTTAAATTAAAAAAAAATTCTCATTCTGTGGTATTCTGTTCTAACAAATCAAAATGGACTAAGACACTGGTTATTATTTATTTGTAACTAGGGTGCCTGGCAAAAGCGGAGGCTCAGGAAACATTTATTTATTTATTGAATGAATAAATAAGCCACCAACTTTTAGATTACAATGGGTTATCCTAAATTCTAGTGTTTTTATCCTTCCTTTTTATCCAAGAATTTTCTTGTTTGTTTTCTCATTTTATCCCTGAACTGACACAGGGTGAGGCAAGGGAGGTAATAACCCCAACTCTATTTCAGATAGACCTTTAGAGACCCAAGAGTGCATATTGAGCAAGTTACTGAGTGAGTGATAAACTATGTGGACCTCACAGTCCAAGATCTGTGTTTCCAGTCACAATGATACAATGAATTAAGGACTCAACACAACAGAAGATTCCAGGGCTAGGACGAGACTTGGTAGGCCAAAGGGAGAGTCCCACCACTTCTTCCTGTGCAGTGGGAGAGCAATTAAGAAAATGCGGCACGCTGGTGGCAGCTGGAGAGTTGGCAGGCTTCTTAAGAGAAAGACTGTAAGCAATGTCATAGGCTTAGAAGATGGATGGGGCCCGTTTATGCACCGAGGCTGGCGTACAAATGGAATCATGCCCAGTCTGACTGGCCTTTCTTCAAAGATGTCATTGACAGATGAGTGTCTAAATTTTTTTGTTTAAAAAAGAAAACACAAAAAAAGAAAGAAGAGAATAAAACAAGAAAACATCAAAAAAAAAAAAAACCCTCTTTCTACCCCACGCATATATAGCCAATGAACATGAGATGACCAGGTCGGGCCTGGGAGAGAAGCTGGCCTTTCCAAGGAGTCCCTGATAATTGTTTGCATAGTTGTGCACCTCTTGTTTCAGATGAGTTCCACTTTAACACAAGGACTTCATTGAAACCCAACATTCCTGCCAGTCGGCTGTCTCCCATCTGCTGTTGGGGCACACTGATGGGAGGCAAGCCTGCTCACACATTCATCTTCATCTGCCAAAACAAGGCTTCTTCCCCAATTAAAATGGCCTTTTTGATTTTAGAGTGGTAAACAGTGTCCACTCCATTTGAGGAAAATACACAGAGGAAAGTTACCAAAGCTAATCACACAGTGCCATGATGGTTGAGTCGAAGTCAGGAAAACTTGGGGCGGGCTGCCTAAGAGGCCACTCTGTTCTTGGAGACAGAAAGGTCTTCTTGAGGTCACTGCTGTCGTGGGGCTGCATCCACAGCAGCCTTCAACATTACAACCAAGCAATTCTGTTTTATCTTATGTCTACCAAACACAGTTTGAGAAAGGTTAATAATCACCAATTCTAAATGGTAAGGATTAAATACAGTTCTTCAAATGACCTTGCCTCTTGGCCTTGCTGTGTAATTATCTTTTGAAAATGGGGACCATTTGGCATACCCAGAGAAGCAGTAAACGGGCTAGTGCCTCCTCCATCCACTCAGGGTGGACCAAACAGTGTCTCGTGACCTACCTGTGGTCTACGGCCACCTATGCAACTCGATAATACCCTGGCATAGCATTTGGGAGGTGCATGTTCTCCTCTAGACTGGATGCACAGTGTTCAGGCTCAGACCACGTTTTACCTATACTCAGCCAAACAGGCATTTTTGAAATGTAAGACATTTGGAAATATGTGAGCATAGACTGTAAACTTGGACAGAGATGGGTGGGATAGACACAGTGACTTTAGGACTCATCCTTCATGATGTCTCAACTAGAAACCCAAGGAAAGGGTTTTAAAAAGAAATTTCAAACAGAGAGCCGGATATTCTGGCCAGACCATGTCTGTGACAGCTGCCGCATGTGGCCTCAGCTCCTGGAAGATAACATGCCTTCAGAATTAGCTAGCTGGACCAGTCTGGAGGTATGCAAGTCTGACCTCCTCTAAGCAAAAATAAATCTTGTTGAGTTAAATGATCCTGTCTCCCACTTTCCTCAAGGAACATGAGACATGAAGTGACAAAATTTGAAGACAGCAACTGTGAATCATCAGAGTCCATATCTCCTGGCTGATTAAGAATAGGTCTGCTTAGTTCAAGATGAGCCACAGGTCAGATACATAAGGCTGTCATCCTTGTCATACCCAGTAACTCAGGAGTAACCAGGGTAACTGTGCTCAGATCTTTCAACCCTGCTAATGCAATTACGATGCAGAGGCCAAGTCGGAAAGAAAGTGCTGGGACAAAAGCAGTATCTCCTCTCCACTGCAAACAGGGCTCCTCCATCTGCTCCGTTTGCACTTTTTCCCAAAAGTATTCAGTGTGTAAAGACACAGAAGTGGGTGTTCAAAGTCTTCCTAAAGTACCACTTATCGAGGGAGACTGCTGGAAAACAAAAATTGCTCCCTTTAGTAAACCTAGCCAATACCAGGTGGTGCTTGGGGCATATCACCCACCCATCAACCAAGGGCTCCAAAATGATCAGAATAAACCATATGCCAGCCACACCCTCAGGCCTTGTTTTTTATGTCAGTATTTGTCTTCAAAGAAAGGTTTGTGGTAGTGGCCAGCCCTTTAGGCCAGATGCCACCAGTGAAAGCCCCCAGCCATCCACAGAGAGCTGCTGACACTCCCAAAAAGAGAGAGAAATGGGAAAAGCCAGAGACAGGTCGATAATTTGACAATTCGAGACTCTCAGTCATATAATATTTTAGCTTTCCCCGGTCCCAAACCCAGCACCTACAGATACAGCTAATTATAATTCCCCAGGGGGATTAAAATCTCAGTCTCTCTGGAGAAGGGCACATTTCAGTTTGTGTTTGCCTAAAACAAACCTGCAATTTCCTCATATGCCTATTGTCAACCTAATGACACAGAAGCTGGAGATGTGGCATTTACTTTGAATGAATGTGCTACCTACCATCAAGAAATTCTCCTCGGCACTCACTAACAATTTCTCACTGTCTCAGAGCTTAAGGACAGAAACCCTGGGAAAGTTTTCTGTTTTCACATCAACCACCACCAACTGTCAGAGCCTTGGTTTGAAGGAGATGACACCAAGCTGAGGAGGAAGTAGTTTTAAATTGTTTTCTCCTTTGAAAACCTTTTTGGAGGATAAGCATGTGACGTAGAAGGAGCCCACTGGCCAGATGAATGGGCGCCATGCTTACTTTGTCTTCATGGATTGAATCCATTATTTACCTGCCACCACAGGAGATTTCCGTTCATCCAGGAGCTGGATGGATGTACTCGCTGTCACCACATTGCTTTTATTGACAGGTCCTGTAAAAAAAAAAAAAAAACCACCACAACAAAAATGAAGTTAATTACAGTGTACATGCTAAGAGAGTAATCATATCAGCCCACAGTCACCAATTCTGCAAATTGTTTTGGGGCTCAGTCCCAGGCCCCAGAGTCCTCTGAACTGTGGATGCACTGCCTATGCTGCCAGGCCATGAGTGCAGTGCTGTGAGTCCCCCTGGCTGAAGAAAACAGTGAGCTGACTTATGACCACCAGTGCACTGGGGAACATCCAGCCTCTTCACATTGAAACCATCGACCACCATCGAGGGACCACATTTTTTGGTAATCTGTGGTTTCAAATTGCAGTGTTTACTTGTGTCAGTGGTCATATTTACCCTGCCTGTCTAAACATAGCCATGAAGAGCTGTATGAGGGCTTTGAAATTATTTTACAAGTTGGCGACTTTAGCTCTGATTCATTGGTTAAATTTTTGCTGATCTATAAAATTGTAATTTCAAGCCCAGTTTTTCTGAGCAAAACCATTCTAAACAGGGATAGAGCTGGAGCACAATCTTCACTCCAAACTATTATTATTCTGGTAACAATATGGCATTAGTATAAAGAGATTTTTAATTACCAGCAATGGTTCCAATATCCATGAATTAAAAAAGATAGCACAAATTCTGAATGCCTGGAGTCCAATGCCAACGTTATAAAAGGTGCTCAATGAATGTGAGTTGGATGAAATTCAATTGAATTGAGAAGCAGGGAAAAGTCAAACCTGAATTTGAATAAACTTATGACAAAAGCAATGAGAGATTTTCTCCTGGCCCAAGTTTAAGCAGCCATAAAAATCAGTTTCTCTTCCAGTTTGTACAGGTATTCAATACATAGTAGAGAAAATTAGAGAGAGTTCCATTGCAGTGACTTGTAGTCAGTGATTTTTAAGGTTTTCCCTGACTCTAAGGGGGTTATGAAATGTCCTAAGATGTTAGGTCATCTGTAACTTTGCCACAAGCAAGGTAAAATTCACTTCATTATACCATTACATTGAAAGTTTGGCGAAAATCCCAGTTACCAAAACCAATACAACAACAGCTTGAGTTAATCAGAATTCATTTTTCCCAGACAGTTCTATGAAAAAAAGTGAATAGCAAAGCAAACTGATAGGAGGGGCCATCGCACACAAGTACACACACACAAAGCAATGTGGGGAGATGTTTTCATTCCCCACAGCTCCTTCTCCCAGTACAGTTGTGGCAAAAGCCACTCTGTCACAAAAGGATGGCTCAATGATTCGAAGAACAGCAAGGTAAGTTCTATTTTCTTCTTCAGAGGACTGTGAAAAGGAAATCTTAAGAGATTGCTCGACAATTGCTCAGAGATTTCATACCACCAGGCCTGCCTTACAAAAGCTCCTGAAAGAAGCACTAAACATAGAAAGGAACAACCAGTACCAGCCATTTCAAAATGTACCTAATGGTAAAGACCATTGACACAATGAAGAAACTGCATCAACTAATGGGCAAAACAACCAGCTAGCATCAAAATTCACATATAACAATATTAACCCTAAATGTAAAATGGGCTAAATGTCCCAATCAAAAGACACAGACTTACAAATTGGATAAAAAGTCAAACCTGGCCGGCACAGTGGCTCACACCTGTAATCCCAGCATTTTGGGAGGCTGAGGCGGGTGGATCACGAGGTCAAGAGATCGAGACCATCCTGGTCAACATGGTGAAACCCCGTCTCTACTAAAAATACAAAAAATTATGGTGGCGCATGCCTGTAATCCCAGCTACTCAGGAGGTTGAGGCAGGAGAATTGCCTGAACCCAGGAGGTGGAGGTTGCCGTGAGCCGAGATTGCGCCATTGCACTCCAGCCTGGATAGCAAGAGCGAAACTCCATCTCAAAAAAAAACAAAAAAAGTCAAACCCATTGTTGTGCCGTATCCAGGAAACCCATCTCATGTGCAAGGACACACACAGGCTCAAAATAAAGGGCCAGAGGAAGATTCACCAAGCAAATGGAGAGCAAAAAAAAAAAAAAAAAAAAAAAAAAAAAAAAAAAAAAAGCAGGAGTTGCAATCCTAGTCTCTGATAAAATAGACTTTAAACCAACAAGATCAAAAGAGACAAAGTAGGACATTACGTAATGGTAAAAGGATCAATGCAACAAGAAGAGCTAACTATCCTAAATACATACACACTCAGTACAGGAACACTCAGATATGTAAAGCAAGTTCTTAATGATGTACAAAGAGACTTAGATTCCCATACAATAACAGTGGGAGACCTTAACACTCCACTGTCAATATTAACCAGATCAATGAGACAGAAAACTAACAAGGATATCCAGGACTTGAACTCAGATATGGACCAAGCAAACCTCATAGACATTTACAGAACTCTCCACCCCAAATCCACAGAATATACATTCTTCTCAGCACCACATCACACCTACTTTAAAATACACCACATAATTGGAAGTAAATCACTCCTCAGCAAATGCAAAAGAATGGAAATCTTAACAAACAGTCTCTCAGACCATAGTGCAATCAAATTAGAGCTCAGGATTAAGAAACTAAATCAGAACTGCACAACTTCATGGAAACTGAACAACTGGCTCTTGAATGTTTACTGGATAAACAATGAAATGAAGGCAGAAATAAAGACGTTCTTCAAAACCAACGAGAATGAAGACACAACATACCAGAATCTCTGGGACACATTTAAAGCAGTGTTTGGAGGAAAATTTATAGCAATAAATGCCCACATGAGAAGCAAGGAAAGATCTAAAATCTATACCCTATCATCAAAATTGAAAGCTAGAGAAGCAAGACCAAAAAACCTCAAAACCTAGCAGAAGACAAGAAATAACTAACATCAGAGCAGAACTGAAGGAGATAGAGACACAAAACACCATTCAAAAAATTAATAAATCCAGAAGCTGGTTTTTCAAAAAGATCAACAAAATAGACAGACCACTAGCCAGATTAATAAAAAAGGAAAGAGAGAAGAATCGAATAGATGCAATAAAAAATGATAAAGGGGATATCACCACCAATTCCAGAGAAATACAAACTACTATCAGAGATTACTACAAACAATTCTATGCACATAAACCAGTAAATCTAGAAGAAATGGATAAATTCCTGGACACTTATACCCTCCCAAGCCTAAACCAGCAAGAAGCTGAAACCCTGAATAGACCAATAACAAAGGCTGAAGTTGAGGCAGCAATTAACAGCCTATCAACCAAAAAAAGCCCAGGTCCAGAAAGGTTCACAGCTGAATTCTACCAGATGTACAAAGAGGAGCTGGTACCACTCCTTCTGAAATTATTCCAAACAATCCAAAAAGAGGGAATCCTTCCCAAATCATTTCATGAGACCAGCATCATCCTGATACCAAAACCCGGCAGAGACTCAACAAGACAAGAAAACTTCAGGCCAATACCCATGATAAACACAGATGCAAAAATCTTCAATAAAATACTGGCAAACTGATTGTAATAGCACATCAAAAAGCTTATCCATCACGATCAAGTAGGCTTCATCCCAGGGATGCAAGGCTGGTTCAACATATGCAAGTCTATAAACATAATTCACCACATAAACAGAACCAAAGACAAAAACCACATGATTATCTCAATAGATGCATAGAAGGCCTTCAACAAAATTCAACAGGCCTTAATGCTCAAAACTCTCAATAAACTTGGTATCAACAGAACATATCTCAAAATAGTAAAAGCTATTTATGACAAACCCCCAGCCAATATCATAATGAATGGACAAAAACTGGAAGCATTCCCTTTGAAACCTGGCAATAAACAAGGATGCCCTCTCTCACCACTCCTATTCAACATGGTATTGGAAGTTCTAGCCAGAGTAATCAGGCAAGAAAAAGAAATAAAGGGTATTCAATTAGGAAAGGAGGAACTCAAACTGTCTCTATTTGCAGATGACATGATTGTATATTTAGAAGACCCCATTGTCTCAGCCCAAAATCTTCTCAAACTGATAAGCAACTTCAGCAAAGTCTCAGGATACAAAATCAATGTGCAGAAATCACAAGAATTCCTATACACCAATAACAGACAAACAGAGAGCCAAATCAACAGCAAACTACCATTCACAATTGCTACAAAGAGAATAAAATACCTAGGAATACAACTAACAAAGGATGTAAAGGACCTCTTCAAGGAGAACTACAAACCACTGCTCAAGGAAATAAGAGAGGACACAAACAAGTGGAAAAACATTCCATGCTCATGGTTAGGAATAATCAATATTGTAAAAATGGCCAAACTGCCCAAAGTAATTTATAGATTCATCATTATCCCCATGAAGCTACCTTTGACCCTCTTCACAGAACTGGAAGAAAACACCTTAAACTTCATATGGAACCAAAAGAGATCCTGCATAGCCAAGTCAATTCTAAGCAAAAAGAACAAAGCAGGAGGCATCGTACGACCTGACTTCAAACTATACTACAAGACTACAGTAATCAAAACAGCATGGTACTGGTACCAAAACAGAGACGTAGACCAATGGAACAGAACAGAGGCCTCAGAGGCAATGCTATACATCTACAACCATATGATCTTTGACAGACCTGACAAAAACAAGCAATGGGGAAAGAATTCTCTGTTTAATAAATGATGTTGGGGAAACTGGCTAGCAATTTGCAGAAAGCAGAAACTGGACCCCTTCCTGATATCTTACACTAAAATAAACTCCAGATGGATTAAAGACTTAAACAGAAGACCTAACACCATAAAAACCCTAGAAGAAAACCTAGGCAAAACCATTCAGGACATTGGCATAGGCAAGGACTTCATGACTAAAACACCAAAAGCATTGGCAATAAAAGCCAACACAGACAAATAGGACCTAATTAAACTCCAGAGTTTCTGCACAGCAAAAGAAACAATCATTAGAGTGAACTGGCAACCAACAGAATGGGAAAAAAATTTTACAATCTACCCATCTGACAAAGGGCTCATATCCAGAATCTACAAAGAACTAAAACAGATTAACAGATTTACAAGAAAAAAACAAACAAGCCCATTCAAAAGTGGGAGAAGGACATGAACAGACTCTTTTCAAAAGAAGACATCTATGAGGCCAATAAACACATGAAAAAAATGCTCATCATCACTGGTCATTAGAGAAATGCAAATAAAAACCACATTGAGATACCATCTCACACCAGTTAGAATGGTGATCATTAAAAAATCTGGAGACAACAGATGCTGGAGAGGATGTGGAGAAACAGGAACACTTTTACACTGTTGGTGGGAGTGTAAATTAGTTCAACCATTGTGGAAGACAGTGTGGTGATTCCTCATGGACCTAGAAATAAAACTTCCATTTCACCCAGCAATCCCATTACTTGGTATATATCCAAAGGATTTTAAATCATTCTATTATAAAGACACATGCACATGTATGTTCACTGCGGCACTGTTTACAATAGCAAAGACCTGGAACCAACCCAAATGCTCATGGATGATAGCCTGGACAGGGAAAATGTGGCACATATACCCCATGGAATACTATGCAGCCATAAAAAAACAATGAGTCTGTGTCCTTTATAGGGACCTGGATGAATCGGGAAATCATCATTCTCAGCAAACTGACACAAGAACGGAAAATCAAACACCGCATGTTCTCACTCATAGGCAGGTGTTGAACAATGAGAACGTATGGACACAGGGAAGGGAGCATCATACACTGGGGTCTGTTGGGGGTGGTCTATGGGAGGGACAGTTGGGGGGGTAGGGAGTTGGGGAGGGATAACATTGGGAGAAATGCCAGATATAGGTGATGGGGATGGAGGCAGCAAACCACATTGCAGTGTATGTACCTATGCAACAATCGTGCATGATCTGCACATGTACCCCTAAACCTAAAGAGCAATAAAAAAAAAAATATATATATATATATATATATATATATATATATATAGAGAGAGAGAGAGAGAGAGAGAGAGAGAGAGAGAGAGAGAGAGAGAGAGAGAGAGAGAGATTGCTTGATAGAAGACAATGTTATTCTTCATAGGTCTCCAGCAGAATGAAAAAGTTCACTGTCTCTTGATATATTCAGCAATAACGTGTGATATAGACAAGCATAAAGAAAGAGCTTCAGGACCGGCACAGTCCCAGCACTTTGGAAAGGCTGAGGTGGGTGGATAACTTTAGGTCAGCGGTTTGAGACCAGCCTGGCCAACACAGTGAAACCTCATCTCTACTAAAAATACAAAAATTATCTGGGATAGTGGAGGGGCCTGTAATCCCAGCTACTCTGTAGGCTGAGGCAGGAGAATCATTTGTACCCAGAAGGCAGAGGTCACAGTGAGCCAAAATCATGCCACTGCACTCCAACCCGGGTGACAGAGCAAGACTTTCTCAAAAAAAAAAAAAAAGAGCTTCGGACACCTGGAAATTTACATTTGAAAAAGCACACATAACTATGGGCAGGCATAGATACAGGCCTATCAGCAAAAGAGCAAAGACCCAAAGAATCTTAGACCTGAAAAGAATCTAACAGATAATCTAGTCTGAAATCCCATCCAGTGAGAGAATCTCATCAATAACATTCAAACGGCTCCTTAAATATGTCCATTAATGAGGAGCTGTCTTCCTAATGAGTCCATTCAACTAATTATAAGAGTACTCTTTGTTTTCCACGAATTTCAAAAGCACTCTTTCTGAAAACATTTTCAGTCATGGAAACGAGAAAGCATCAAGCCTTAGGGAGGAGGGCTGGGTGCAAACACTGGAGAACTTCGCTACGAAAGGAACTGATGTCATATGTAAAATATAACTACAGATGGAACTTTCCGGTGCAACCCAAGTTTACAGAACTAGGTTTCATTCATCTCTCAAGTTTCTTCAATGAACAGTATAGAGTGAGCACCCAAAATACCAGATGCATGAGGCAAGAAAAAAGAATGAGGAAAATTGGAGCATTTCCAGTAGGTTTTGCTTCCAAAACTGGTTAAAACAAGATAGGATTCAGTTCTTTTTGGAGGCAGGTGACTTTAAATTTTTATACTATCATATCATAAACTCTCAGGACTGAAAAACTGATCAGCTACATGCCTCTCATTGGTGACTGCAGGCTCCTGTCAAGAGAGCACATGGCTATACAAAGTCAGTCCTTAGTCCTGCATATCCATTTAAATCAATTCATTCCAATGGGGAACTGTGGACCTCTGCAGGGATGTGGCTCACTGAAGGTTCTGGCAAGGGATGCTTGAATTTTCTCTAAGTGGAGCCAGGACAACATAAAAAAGAAAAAAGAAATTGACTGATAAGTTTGTATTAAAATCCCATAGGGTGCAAAACACCAGCTCTGCTTCCTGAAATACATTTGCATAATTTCATAAAGGAAAAGCCTTCCTTTTATTTGAGGTTATTACACTTACGAACTGGTCACTGGTTCAGGGCTGACCCCATATTCAGCATTGGCTCTGAGGGTTGAACCTGGTTCCGCATTCAGGCAGCTCCCCCACACCCTGCATACAATGCCCAGACCCACTGGACCTGACCGACAGAGCCCGCCTCCAACAAGGGCACCCACCAGTGCTGAACGGGATCGAGTAGACGAAGCTCCCTGGAATCTGCTCAGCAGCTCTTCGGTACCAGAGAGGGAAATGGTCTGCATTAAAAATGTTCTCCTTGTCACCAGCTTTCAGGAAGTCCCTTGAAGTGGAAAAGAATCAGAAGAACACTGTATCACTTAGCAGTGTAAAGGGGGGCCTGGAGCACCCTGACAGCCTTTGTCAGGTAAAATCAATATTTGCTTTTAGAACCCCAACTTGCATTTCTCAGTAGAGAGGGGACCTTAGTTAACACTGCACACCCCAGATTACTCAAAAATATCTTGCAGAGCTCTGGAAGTCAGATTCTGAGTGGGTAAAATAATTTTTCCTTGTATATCTAGTGAACTAATTGTCTTCAAGTCTGAAGCCAACCAACCAAACAAAGCCTTCTGGTTTAAAGCCGCCATCCTTGGTTTTTCTGATAGGATTTCTGTAGGCTTTAAAACCCACGCATATATACTCATACCCTTGGGAGAATCAACTTCTTAGGTAGATCTCATTCTTCTTAGAGCAAGTATAAAGAAGGTAAACCATGCTTCTTAGAAAAAGTACAAAGGAGGTAAACGTGAGCCCACACTGAAATCTTTGCACCCTTCTTCCCTCTCCTGCCTCCTCTCCAGACAAACAGGCCTGCTCATGCCCCCTGTGAACATCCCCACCCTCCACTGACTCCCTTCCTTCTGCCCAGAGAGCTTATCTGTCAGGAAGGCTAGCTACATTCTCCTTTCCATCTCTTCCTCTCAAAAATCACACTCGTCTTCAAAGTGCACCTCCTCTACCACCTACTCCATGAATCCACAGAGACATGTGCAAGCTCTTGCCACACATCCTGTGCCCCCACACTCTCGGTCACTCTCATATAGCCTTTTTTTTGTCCTGCACAATCGTCATACCCCCTCCTCAGACCTCCCAAAATCTCTCAGGACAGGAGATTTTTTTTACAATTGTGCACTTTTCACAGAGCCTTAGCATACTCAAGTCCCAGTGCATGATTATTGACATGACATGCCTCTGGAGAGTCACGTGTGCTCTCCAGCACCTGAAGTGCCTCATCTTGGCTGATATAGTGCAAGGAGAGGAAACGACTGCCTAGTTAGGCCACAGTCTGCTGCAGACGTTTTTCAGGAAGGGAGACCAATCAGGGGACAAACGTGTAGGCAGGAACTTGGAGAAGAAATGGCACCACTTTCAACCCAGCAGTTTGCAGCATACAGGTGGATCGCACAAACCATGGAGAGAAATTTTCCTGCTAAATTATAACTGTCTGGTTTCTTGAACTTGGCACCTAGTTCAGGAAAACATTCTATAGTTGCAGGGTGTGTCTAACCAGTGTTCCCTTCACCTCTACCAAAGATGGAGTGCCCAATTTTTAGAGAGGAGGCTCATGCCATTGGAGGTCACCCTCCAGGTGCTTAGATAGCTCTGGAATCTACCTTCCTGTAACTTGTACTAGCATGTTCTAACTCCTCTCTAAGGTCTGGACCTTCTTCCCCAATTCCCAGGGCCTGGCTCTCAGCAGATGCTTGGTGTATGCTTAACAATCACAGCATAAATCTAATCTCATATCCAGATAAGAGCTTCTCCAGTGTTAAACACAATTTCCTATACCTTCAAAAATAAAATCTCTCAATTCTTTCAAATTCCTTTGTCTGTGTAGTCATCTTTATAAATGCTCTACTTTGTTTATATTGCTTTAAAATTTTGCCTACTAGAATTGGTCATCGTAGGTCAAAAAAGGTCTGACATAGCATAGCTGCCTGCATTTGATCTTGATTCTTATTGACAAGATGACTCTCCAGAAACTAAAAACTTAAAAAATGTTTTTGTTAAAGCACTACTCTCTCTTTCAGAAGGCCAAGGCTATCTTTGGAGTCATATGCAAGATTGAATAAGTGCAGAGATGTCCTGTGTTGTCTAGAATGCTGGACATCGGGACTTCCAGGCTCATCTTGGTAGACAAGCTCTTCCTTATGCTGCTGTATTCAGTGGTGATGTTTCCTGACCCAAAAGTCATCAGGCTTCAGAAATACTGAAATTTTAGCATTTCCATTTCTTTACCTAGACATGAAATTCTTTTTTCTTTTTTTTTTTTTTGAGACAGTCTTCCTCTGTCATCCAGGCTAGAGTGCAGTGGTGCCATCTCAGCTCACTCCAACCTCCACCTCCTGGGTTTAAGCAATTCTCTGCCTCAGTCTCCAGGGTAGCTGGGATTACAGGTGCAGGCCACCAAGCTCGGGTAATTTAACCTGACCTGGATGGCGTGAGGAGGAGCCTGTTTCCCGGCCCTTGGCGGAATGCATCATTGCTTTCCACACCGGGTCACAGGTTCAGCCACAGCTGAGCAGAAGGTGTTCACACTTGCAGCAGAAGGTGTTCTGTTCAGTGTTCATTAAGAGGTGCCCTGTCCATGCAGCACAGGTTAATGGTGCCATAGGGTACCTTTTGCCAGAGTCATGGCAGATGAGATGGTAGCTTAGTTACAAAGTATGAAGTGGTCCTCACTTAGATGATGACATTCAGGCTTTGGGGATGGCTGGCAACAGGTCCAGCATACCGCACATCTGGGTGTCCAGTGCCCAGGATAGCACTGGCACCCAGGGCAGCCAGCAGGAGCCTGCAGCACTTGATCCCTGTTAACCCTGGTGTTCATAAGAAAGGACTGAGTTGCCAGGAAGCCCTCTGCCAATGGGTAGGCAGCTCTTCTGGAGGAAACGGGAAGGAGACAGCTGATTTTACAGAATCCCAAAAAATGTGAAAGTCTCCTTCTGGAAACGAGGAGCTACTGTAGTGGTAAGTCAGGCTGGTCTAGGTTCTGGGAAGAACTGGATGACTCTGAGTGAGTAACTGAGTCTCTGACCTCCATTTACTCATCTACAAAACAGGAACAATCAAAACGTGCACTTTACCGAGGTTCTATCAGCATCATATAACACCATATGTGAAAGTGCTATGGACACTGAAAACATGTTCCAACAAATATATGGGATTCTTAAAGCCCAAGAGTTTCTTTTGTTCCTGGTGTTGAAATGGGAGGAGTAGGCGGTCACTTATAAACTTAGGGCTGTACACTGCGAAGGCTAACATCACTGGATGCTATATGCATGGTGATGTGAGAGGTCATACTGAAGGCACAGGGGGTGACAGCCAAGTTACAGTGTAACTGATCTACTTCCAAATGCAGGTGGTGGGATATGGGATGAAATCTCCATGTAGGAGACTGATGATCGTATGAGTTAATTGCAGGGTAGCAACTTTACATGATCAATTCTCTGCCCAATCCTTTAAGCGCTGCGTTTCATGCCCTAGTCAAAAACAAAAACTAAACCAAAAGTCAGAAAGCCTAAAATCTTTCGAAGCCTGGCTTAGAGAATGTATCCAAATAGCTGGATCTTGACAAATGCTATTTGATGGGAGAGGATAAGCAGGTAAGGCCCTTAGGCAATAGATGTCAAGGTGCCGCTATATGAAGCAACAACAGGAGTTTCTTGAACACAGAGGATTTCATCCATTCAAATTGTCAATGAGTATCCACTCTGTGGGTCACAAAATACCACAGAGAACAGAACACATAGTTGTAGATATTTTTAGCTTCCCAAATAAATTTTCCATCCATAAACAAATATATATTTTTTAGACAGAGTCTCACTCTGCTGCTCTGGCTGGAGTACAGTGGTGTGATCTCTGTTCACTGCAGCCTCTACCTCCCGGGTTCAAGCAATTCTCCTGCCTTAGCCTCCCAAGTAGCTGGAATTAGAGGTATGCGTCACCATGCCTTACTAATTTTTGTATTTTCAGTAAAGACAGCGATTTGACATGTTGGTCAGGCTGGTCTTGAACTCCTGACCCCAAGTGATCTGCCCACTTCAGCCTCCCAAACGTCTGAGGTTACAGGCATGAGCCACTGTACCTGGCCCATCCATAATTTTTTTGATCTTCACAGTAACCAAAAGAGATCATTGCTCTCACTTTTCAGGTGGACAGAATGAAGGCACACAAGTGAGATAAGCCAGGTATACCTCCCAGCTTCCTTACTGTACTCCTTTGTCTTTTAAGTCCATCACGATAACACAGTTATGAGACCAGCAAGGTGTCATGTTTTATTGTTGTTACTGTTTTGCTGTTTTAATTGCTTGCTTCAATCTCAAGGGCAGCAGCAGGCTTCCTCACTGAATATAGAAAATGAATTCCCTCGTCTCCCTTTGCCTCTCTGAATCCTAAGAGGAGAAGGCAATGTGTATCTCAGCACCTCTAGTCCTTCCCAGGAACCTGCCCTCTGGAAAAACAATTGTTTGGTGGAGGGAAGTGGGTAAAAGGCTAAAAAAAAGGCTTTAAAAAATCAAGTTGCAACTATAATCAACTTCATAGATGATAAATGTGAGTATCAAGAAGGTCAAAGTTCTGGAACAGAATTCAGAGCCAGTCTATTAAAATATCTAAACATTGATTCATCTGTCATTTACCAGACTTGGTTTTGTAAGGTTATATGGTGGGTGTCAGGGCCTCAGGCAGCAGAGGCAGACAGCACTGCTGAGCTCCAAGGGAGCACCACCTCCTCGGACCCTTGATGAGCCAACTCCTCTCAAACTGGCAGCTACCCTGTGCCTTGGTTATTCACCTTTAGGTACCCTGAAGGTTAGGAGTATAATGTTCCATGGTAATCTCTGAACTCATGCATACGCCTGCAAACTACTTTCAGACATTCTGAATCTCGGGACCCATTGTCCAAGTCTTAACAATCTCTCTTACTTCAGAGAAAAGAAATGGAAAAAAATTATTAATGGGCTCAGAAAAGACTTCATAGTCTACCTGCTAGCACTGGTGAAACACCAATTTGATGAGTTAAGGGCCCATGGCTCTCTGAAGATACAGGGGCTGAGCATCTGAGTACTAGACCCGGAAACTCTCTGCCCAACATCCATCCAGGCCTCTTTGGAAGTACAAGGAGACACTGTCAAATCCCAGTGTCCCCAGAGGGCCCACCCCTGGGTGTGGAGCTCTGCAGTCCCTCAGGCTAAGCACAGAGGCAAGGGGTCTATTAGTAAACTATAAACAAACAAACAGGACTTGGAACACTGATTTTTGTACAGGCAGGAATTCCTTAGCATAGCTACAGAACAGCTGAATGCCCTGAAGCCATTTGTTACCAGATGAGCGTTTCCTCCCTCTGGCGGCTCCCCAAGCAGTCGCACCACCTCCCAGAGTTCTGAAATGACTCATCAGGGTGAGAGAGGACTCCAGTGCAGTGGACAGAAGCCAACAAGAGTGAGTAACAAAGGGTGGCAGAAGAGCTAACAGGCAGGTGAGAGCACATGCTGGGGCCCCCCTGGTAGAACAGAGAGGAAGAATCACAATATGACTGGGGTGGCCTGAATTATGTTTCTACCAGTAGTGGAATCAAGAAATGAAAGAAGCCTCCCTTTGAATGTTCCATTTCAGGAGCTCCCTGGGCCCCTGCAGAGGATCCCTCCTACTTACTGATTGGTGAGCTGCTCGGCCCCGACAAACAGGTTGATTCTGGAGAGGCCCGTGCGAGTGCCCAGGAAGGCAACCTCCACACCCTTGTCAGAATTTCTGAAACAGAACAGCAGACATCAGGGAAGCCTCCAGACAGTAAGCAGATAATAGCATAGCTTTTGCATTTTAAGACTCACAGAATATTTTAACAAATAGTAGTTTTGAAACGAACTTTAAAAGAAGTTATAGAAACACACACACACACACATACACACACACATATCACACACCACACACCCCCAAGCACAGATTGCCAACTTGTATCCCTTACAAAAGTTTTCCTGTAATACTTGCAGGAAAAATGAAGAATCTCCTGCCAACAAAAGCAGCATGTGAAAAAATCTACTTCCAACCATACACACATCTTTATCTCAAGGTTCTGGGTGCAAGTTCAAACAGATCTGGCTGAGAATGGAAAGGACTAGCCCATTAGGGTTTAGGACTAGCTTTTTGCATTCATGCTACCAAGTTTAATCTTTGTCTTGAGATCACTCGGGAGTGTGCAATTAAAGCAGCTGAGCCATGGAACCAAGTTTGCAGCATCCCAGAGCCTGGAATTCCACATAGTTGGAATTGGTTTTGACATCCACAGGGTTGATTACTTGTCACTTACCACCAACTTTTCACTTCTACCAGACCACAGGCCTTATTCTCACCACCAACCCCTAAGAGATGTGTAAAGAAATGTCTTCTTCCAATATCTCTGTAGGAGGCTACACACAGGAGAACTCTAAGAATGGCCCTGGCAAGGAAAACTAATATAAAAATTCACTAAAAATCATTTTGTTTCAACTTCCAAAGCAAATTTTATATGCTTGAGTGTGTTCTTCAGGAGATTTGCAAGGCATATTTTTTCTTTGCAAAAAGCAAATGGCCTTTCTCCACAAACACATAATTTTATCCTACAATAAATGTATGAAGAGAACACCAGTGCTTGAGCTTGTTTCTCCATCCTAAATGCTACTAGCAATTTGATCCAAAGCATTCTCCACGTTATCTTCAAAGTAAGGTTATTTGGTTACTTGATCTTTGATGAAAGTCAAAGTGGTAGATGTTACCTTTAAGTATTTAAGGTCTGAATCAAAACCAACGCTATGCATTTCTGCTTGTAGCCTACATCAAATTGGAAAGCCAGGCTGTCCAATCAGTTACAGATGTGGACTACAAAGCAAGGTACCATTTTGGAAATCTTTAGTATGTGTTAGGAATGAATCAGCAACCTTTGCTCAAGATTTTGAGTTTCACGAGAGCCTAAAAGAAACACTTCAAGGTTCATTAGAGAAAGAAACTCCAGGAACAGCTCAATTCTTTGCCAGTAAATAAGATCCATGCCATGAAGGCAAGCAATCCAAAGACACCCCCAATAATGAAAATGGCAGTCTCTTTGGGGCTCCAGATTTGCATATTAAACAGCCTACCCCACATCTCCATTTGGGAGACTTAGCCATTTTAAGCTTATGAGGTCTAGAAGAGAGAATGGCCATGCCCAGCCCTAAACCTGATCCTCCCTCAGTGTCTCCTGTCTTAGCTAATAGCGGCATCTGCCCAATAGCTCATGATACAAATCTGGGAATGATCCTTGATGGCTCAACCTCCCTGCCCTCACACAACAAACCCATTATCAGGTCCTGGGGACCCTGCCTCTGAAGCAAGCCACAGGTGACCTCTTCTCTCTGTGCCCACTGCTCTGGTCCAAGTCACGAACCCTGGGAACACTATAGGAACCTTTACTATTGTTCTTACCCCATTACACTGTTCTCCACACAGCAATAGAGAGGTCTTTTTGTAAAATGCAAATCTGATCGCTTTCCTCCACCTCTTAAAATCCTCTGGTGATCTCCCAGTGCTCTGAGTATAAAATCCAAGTTCCTTAACCTGACTTCCAAGGTCCTGAGCACGTGACCCCTCTGCAGCCTCATCCTCTGTAGGTCTGCCATGCCCACCTTCTTTAAATTCCTCCAATGTGTCAAATACTTTCTCATCTCAGGGCCTTTGTATGTGCTGTTCCTAGAATGCTCCCCGAACCTTGAACTAGTTCCCATCTTCCTCCTCTACTTTAGATCTGTTACACTTCAGGTGTCTTTACTTTTCCTTCAAAGCAGTTACGATTCTTACTAAGACAGCACACCATATACCACAGGTGCCATGGTATTAAGCGCTCTATTTGTGTGGTTTCTCTCCATTTCTCCAATACCTCACTCAGAGTGTGGCACATAACAGACACACAGTCAAGACTCGATGAATGAATGAATGAAAGTGAGAACAGAATGAATGACAGATAGGATGGAAGGGAAGACACAATGAAGGAATGAACTCATAAAGAGAAAAGTGGAGAGACACAGGATAGAAGGGAAGACGAAATGAGGGAATGAACTAAAGAAGAACAGAAAAGTAAAAAGAAATGAGCATGTAACTCATGAAGATATAAGGGAAAAGGTATGTTCTTATTTTCCTTTTTAATCTTTAATAGTCTACTTAATTAATAAGAGTAAAGAAATAATAATAAGCTTCTAAAGCTGTTCTCATCCTAGTCTTTGACATCAACTACCCCCACCTTCCCCGCAGCCCCTCCGCCCTCCACTTCAGAAATAAAACCACAGGGTTGTATCTGACACCCTATGAAATCGAGCTCTCACTTCTCCGTCGTACTCACAACCTAACCTGGCCCAGATCCCAAGTTCCCTCAAGACTGCGAAGTAGAGAGAGCTGTGGCGAGGCAGGAAACAAAGTTCCCTTCCGCCTCCCTCTCTCTTGGAAGTGTCACCCTACCTCAGCGTACCAAATTTCATGTAATGTTAAAACTCAAACAAATTGTATGTCAAACCCAGGAGCTTGCCATCCAAGCCTGAGCCGCTAATCTGCTCTAGCTCTTGTGGTTTGGAGCTTTGGGGAAAATTAAAAAACTTTAACACCAGGCTTCTAAAACAGTTTAGTTCTTTAAACCATAACCATATTTCGGAGTGTTGGTGAGGAAATGGCCATGAAAGGAGGACACGTGCAGCCACTTACTCAGATTTGTTGAGGGCCAGGCTGGTCCAATACGCTTCAATGGGGGCACTCACCACGGCATCAAAAAGGACTTCTTGGATCAATTCTTTATCACCTGTTGGGAGGGACAGACGAGAGGATGCTTCAGCAGGGCTGGAAGAGGGGCATGAGAGGCGCTCATGGGCTTGTGACTGCAGTGTCTGCAGGCTACTTTCTTATACAACGTGTTGCTTTGTGAGTCAAGCTCCCACCAGCTGAACATATGAAACACTTTTGACACCTGGTATGCCTGCAACACAGGAGCCTCCAAAGCATTTGGGCGAGATGATAGTCAACTGAGCGGCTTGGGAGTCTCACACTTCAGTCCTCTGCTTTCTCGCCCAGTCTCGTGGTTCTCGCCATGGACCAGCAGGCTGAGTCTCAGATTTGGAGACCAGAGGCCAGTACTCCTTGAACACTTGGCTGTCAGCACCCCCATCTCTGCCCTCTCCTAAAACTGAAATTCTTTAGCATCCTGATGTCAGCTTCTTGTCGCATAGGAAAGGGATACCATAACTTAGTGACCACTGGGATTCTTATTTTGTGATTCTTTCTATTTAAGAATTGCTTCATATTATTTGTTTTTATTTTTATTTATTTATTTTTGAGACAGGGTCTCACTCTGTTGCCCACACTGGAGTGTAGTAGTGTGGTCTCGGCTTACTACATCCTCCTCCTCCCAGACTCAAGCGATTCTCCTGCTTCAGCCACCCGAGGAGCTGGGATTACAGATGCAGGCCACTACCACCTGGCTAATTTTTGTATTTTTAGTAGAGACAGGGTTTCACCATGTTGTCCAGGTTGGTCTCAAACTCTTGACCTCAAATGATCCACCCATATTGGCCTCCCAAAGTCATGAGCTACCATGCCCAGCCAAGAATTGTTTCATTTTAAAGGAGAATGTCTGTTCCTATCCAAAGAGACTCTTGGTAGAGCCCTGTGGAAGTGGTCAAGGAATGAGACGATAAGGTAAGTCTAGGAGAGTCATCCTAGAACTCTCCAATTTCTCAGCTGTGGAGGAGGACAACTGACTGTCACATGAGGCAGGTCAGTCCTTACCCTGATTGGGGGCAAAAAAATAAATAAATAAAGAGCTTTGCTGGAAAGCAAAAGCTACAAACAACTTATCAGTAAGACAGTGAATGTATTGAGATAAGTTATATAGTGAACTTCTATACAGTAATGTAAGTAAGTGCATTAAGGCTAAATGATCAACATAAATTCCAAAAATATAATGAGTGAAAACACAAGTTGTAGTACATATATATGAACATATTGTATGTATTATATTCTATATATAGTAATTCATATAATATACCATATATAAAGTTTAATATATATTTTAAAATAATATAGTTAATGTTACAGATTGTTTATAGATACCTACATATGTAGGAATAGCATTAAATTTTTGCAAATAATGAACAAATACAGATGGTCATTCTCTTTGGGAGGGAAATAGGGCTGAACAGGGTCCCAGGGACCTCAGTCTTATCTATAATGTGCCATTCCTTAAAAAGCACCTGGAGTAAGTTCGGCAAAATATTAAGATTGGGTAAAGCTGGAGGGTGACTATAAATGTATTATTCCTATTGTCTCCATACTTTCATTTTTTTAAAATGTCCTTAAAAAGTCAAAGACAATGACACACTGGGCTCATAGGATGTCCATCTGATCCTTTCCCTGCCAGGGCATATCCCAAAAAATAAATCCATTCTATGGAGATGTCATTTAGCAGCTGGATAATCTCCTTACACCTCTCATAGGATTACATATGTAAAGCACTTGTCATGTCATTGAACACATGATGCTTGTTAGAGGTGGGGGCAGACCTCACGATCAGTTTTCGTGGCTCTCTCCCTGCCCAAAGTGTAGCTGTTGGAGCTATCCTGTGAGAGTATAGGGTCTGCTTATGCCTTAGAGGGGCATTCAGGCCCGCTGCTGCTTTTCCCTGCCTCTTTTGCACCAGCCATTGACCATTTCTTACTCACTGAGCTCACCTAGAAGGGGATACCTGGTAGGAGGAGGGGAAGGAGAACATGAACCATGCTGAGAGGCTATGTATCCCCATCGTGACTCCACTCCTGGGAGAACCAGGAGACCTAGATATAGCCTTGAGTGAGACGTGTCCTACTTCCAGCCTTGGTTTCTCATTTGCGAAATTAGGGAGATGAGTATTTATAGTCCCTTTGCAGTTGTAACATTTCCATCCTATTCAGTTGCTTGACTAAATGGTTCAGAAGGGGACAAAGCCCAGTACAAGCTGCTAAACCAGGATTGGGGGTCTGTGCCATTTTCTGTAATCCACATTCTTTCTCCTGTTCCTACAGGAAGCAGATATTTCCTTGGATCTCATGTGACTGATATTCGCTGCCAAAGCAAAGCATCCCTTAAAAACGAAGGCCAAAAAATAGTTTTGAGTTCACTCCCCACCATCAGCCCTGAAGGCACAACACTCTTTTGAAAGCGTACTCACATTGGAGCAGAGGTTCTTTGCCTTTGAGGTAGAGCTTAATCGCTTCTAACTGAGACAGATGGCGGTGCTCATGGTGTAGGTCAGTGTTGCAGTAGGACCTAAGAACATGGCATGGCCCAAAACAAAAGCTTGTCAATATTTACAGCATCTGCTTCTTTTGCCTTTGAACCAGGAAAACTGGGCAAGGGACCACAAACCATGTGGAATCAGAGGGCAATGAAGGATGCCATGGCCAAGGAGGGATGGTTTAATTCTTACCATTCATCTGCCAAGGACACATCAGGATGTTCTAAGTCATGCAGGCCTGGGGGACAAGGAGAAGGGTTCATGAGTAAGTACCACTTCCCCTGATCCTCCTGTGCACTTCAAATATTCTAGGGTAGGGCTGTGGGGTGGATTAAGAGTAGACATCAACTCTAAAGTTGCACCTGCCTTGGAGCAGGGACTTTGAGCAAAATAAACAAGTTCCCTTCCAGGGAGGACTCTCTCCCCATTTCCACCTCAATCAACCAGCACTGTCACCTTCCCTGGCTGTTCATCCCAGGAAAACCTTAATCCCTTGAAGAGACCAGATACACTAATGAGTCCAGAGAAAGAAGCTTAACAGGATGGTTAGAAACACTCACTCTGGTGCTCCATATAGTCCGAGATGGGAACTGGGCTAGGCCACTGACCTCCTGTGTGATGTTCGTAGGTTACGTCTCTAAATGTCAGTTTCTTCATGTGAAAAGCAGGAATAATAGTCCCTAACTGATGTGTGTTGTAAGGGTGGAATTATAGGTTGAAGAATATGAAGTTGCCAATACTCAACTGTTTTTGAACAGCAAAGATTGCTAGTTGTTACAGGATCTTAAGGGAAGACGAGTCATCCGTCTGGGAAGGAAACTAGGGGAGCTGGGGCTTGCAGGGAAATCTGGGAGTTTTTATAGATGGTTCCAGACCACCTTAGCTCTGCAAGGATAACTCTGTTTCATTGCATCTTCATATGGCTCGATCTTAATGGGTTATCAGCAGACATACACTTCTGAATCATGACCTCAGGAACTCCCATGATGCTTATAGCCTGCTTTGGAATGTTGGTTTCTTAAATGACCAATAGTATTTTACTGTTTCCAGGACTCCAGTCAAATACGAATCTATAAAAGAAGTAGCAAAATGCTAGGCCTATCACACAATTCTACTTGATTTTACAGAAAGTAGAGAATATATTAGAATGAACATCATTGCATATGACCCAAGTGGGCATATCCAGGCTCCAACACTTACAAACTGCATGATCTTGGGGATTTACGTCAGGTCCTTGAGTTACATCTACCATGAGGTACAAGTAATACTGCATAACTCACATGTGCCAGAAAACAGTTAAATGGGATAGGAATTAGTCCCTAGTGCAATCCATCCATCTATGTAGCCTTTCTTCTTTTTCTTCTTTTCCTTCTTCCCAACCAAACAACTTTCCTTCCTTCCTTTTACCCTCTCCCATTCCTTCTTTCCCTCCATACTTTTACTGAGCATCTGCTATATGCCAGGTATGACTCTAGGCCCTGAGAATATAGCTGTGAATACAACAAAACAAAATCACTGCCTTCATTGTATTTAATTTCTAGTGGCAGAAAAGAGATAGGAAATTATATTAAAATTTAACTTTAGAGCATATCAGATAGTGGCGAGGGCAAAGAAGGAAAACACAACATAGAACAAGAAGAGGGAGAGTTGAAGAGAGAGAGAGAGAGTTTCCATTGTGACTACGGAGGTCAGGGAAGGCTTCCCTGAGAAAGTGACCTGAATGAGGCAAGGAAGAGTCGTGTAAGTGGCAGGGAGGGTGCTCATGGCAGAAGGAATAACAAGTGCAAAGGCCCCGAGAAAGGACTGTATCTTCCCAGAAAACTGGATGAGGAAGTCTGGATAAGGATGTCAAGTCTGTTTTTCCAGTTGCAGTTCCCATCTCCCAACCTCATTCACAAAATCCTCTCTGGCTCTATTTCCCAGGACCTATAAATCAAACTCATAGAAGAGATCTGTAGGGAAGATCTTTTTGATGCTTGTTCCCTGGGTTCCTAGGGCACCAAGGAAATCTAACTATACTCTAATTTTCTCACCTCTGATGTTGGTCCTTTGGAGAAAAATCACATCTACTGATGATTGGAACTGCTGACAATAATGACATAAGCTCTAATTTGTTGAACAATTATTGTGTGCAATACATATAAAAGATTTATAAGAGAAACAATTTCAGCAGGTAGAACTATAGCCCATGCCTTCAATCCTGGTAATGACTCCTTATATTTTTTAGCAAAATAGACCTGTTTGCCATCTTGTAATCTCTGACATTGGCAAAGCATGTGGAAAATTCCTACATTCTCTAGGGAAGTACTCCTTATTGAAGATCCTATAGAAGTATGGTTGCCAACCGCAAGGAACTCCTTCCCTCTCCAAGAACAGAAGAGAACAATAATCACACCAAGGCTCCTGGTGATGAAGAGACCCTCTACTAGTTGGCCCAAGGGGAAGCAGCTTTCCTAAGTTCTATTACTCAGCAAAGCTGGCAGGATTGTCAGTCTTTTTATTACAGAGGACCAACAGAGAGAGGAAGATATGACCTCATTTGTGTGGATAAGCAGCCACTCTCCCCCTTGCTGAGGATTCGAGCTAATTTCTTACATAGTGGTTACAGTTAGTTCTGAAATTCTCTCTATGTGATCATTTAGGCTCACAGCTGTGGAACATACAGGAAGAAGAAAGTGACTGAAAAAGAATCCAAAAGATAATGCAAAACGACTGTGTGTATCTGTGTCTCCATGTGTGTGTGAGAGAGAGAAAAGGGGGGGTGGAGAGAGAGAGAAGAAGGGAGGGACAGGCCCATGTAATGAGGATTGACCAAAGGAACAGACCCATGAGAGGCAATTAATCCCTGAATAACCCCTCCTTCTATTATTCTGACCATGAGTTGTTTCTTCAGCTTGACCTCACATGGCTTAGACATGAATTTTCTGGCTTCATGGGCAGTGATGTCTATAGAGCCAACATGGCCCACAGAGCCAGAAAATTCTAGAAGCAAAAACATGATCTCTGAGAACACCTCCTGGAGAGTGTCTTGCCCATGTTACAGAGTTGCCTGTGTTCTCTGGTGTGTCTCTGGGAAGAGAGATCACACAGTTAGCTCTTTGGTGGGCACACTCTGGGTTCTGCCCAGCTCACAGTGAGCCCCTCTACTCCCTATTCTGCCCCATATGATCTCACAATCACTTGAGAAGCACAAACCAACATCCCTGAAACAACCTGGGCAGGTACCATCAGCAGTAAACCAGAGGCTATCTCAGGGCACATCCAATTCCTTCCTCATGCCCTGTGGCATCACTGAGGATACCGTGGATAGCTCAGCTTCTGGAAGCTCACTACATTCATGTGTAATCAGTTCTGACCAATTAAAACTTGGCTTACAACAGACCTCTGTATTCCTGGCTGTCTTCCCTATAGAGGTCCAGAAAGACTACTGTTCTGGGCCAACTCCTTCTCTGTCGACATGCAAAACCTAATGACCTGCAAGTGAGTCACTCAAGGCCACTCAGAGTGGGTCCCTTCAGAAATGATGTCCATTTCCCCTGTGAGCTCATAATGCTGGGACAGGTAACCTCTTGAACTACTGGGTCACTGGGAGATGAAAAGGACAGCACGTGTGACAGCAATTTTAAAATTTAAAGAGCTGTACAACTGCTCTTCACTGTGCACAAGGGCACAGTAAACTCTCTTATGAAGACAAGAGTGTCTGGGAATTTCAAGGTGCTAGTTACTCCCTCTGACCTATGTAAATCATTTAAATGGTCACATTTTCCTTTGGGCCAGGGCTGCCATGAAACATAAATGAAATATGTGGCTCAACTGTGTAGGAGACACCAAGGCTCTCATATCTTTGTTTTCATGGTTTCTCCTGGGCATGAATTATTTCATACATTTGTATTTCTCCCAGGTACTGATTGTTGTGCATGAGAAGAATAGAGTTGAGGGATGATTCCTATTGACTTACGTTCTGCTTTCGTCCACAACGCTGTTGACTATGAGCCACTGACAGTCAACAGCATCGTGGATGAAAGCAGAATATGAGTAAATTAAATCACAACCATGAATCGGAATTCCTGCCATTCTGAAACCTAGGCACAAGAGGGAAGAAGAAAGGTATTAAGAATATCAAGTAGGCATTTGTTTGGGTGATGCCCAAGTGACTGGCCAGAGGTGTGGACAGATGAACAAGTTCTCCAGTTAACTCAATAGCTGGCTCTCGAGCTTTCTTCCCACCCCAAAGGATAAGAGGAGCCAGGCAGTATCTTACCTTCTTCGATGGTTACGTTCCCTCGGAAGAAATACTTCCCATGGCCTCTGGAGAGCGCCACACCTAAACTGTGCAGAGAGACAAAGCAGATCTTGAAATCCCTGGCATCAATTCGAATAGACTTGTGGGCTAACATTTTTTAATTTTCCATTTTTCACATTTTCATTTTATGATCTGTAAACAATTTTTCCAACCGTTTACTTTTGAAACCCTACTGATTACTGCTGGTGCTGGTTTTTCTTAGGTTCAGTCAGCTGCTTCAAAGTAATTTCTGATTGGAAATGTCAGCAGCAGTTGGCTACTCTTTGTGTTTTAAGAGTTGTGGCAAACTGCTCGCCCTCCCAGCAAGCCCTTCTCTCGGATGCCCTCCCAAGGACCATGCGCCCTGCTCTTTATACACCCTTGCCCTGCAGCATTCAGCCAGAGATGGATCTCTCCAGCCCCTAGAGTTTGGGACTCAGGAAATTGACCCCTTTTCGAGGGCAAAAACGAAAACTTCCACTATACGTGAGTGTAACCACATGACTGTGGTGCAGGCTTCTTTGCCCAATCCTCTACCTAGTCTAACAGGTTTTTCACACTCACTGGCTTGATTTAAGATTCATTCTGTTTCTGTCTAAAGTAAGAGACTATGTTTGTAAAACATAGAGAGACTATTTGGCAAACCCACTTAGCAGTTCATGTGTTCTTAGTTTGCTCCTGGTTCCACATGGAATCCACCCATGATCCTTGGCAGTTTAGGACAACAATGCTAGAATTTATTTTTCAGATTCTTCTATAGTCAGTAAACTCCTTCTCGCCTTAGCTCTGAGACACCAGTTCAGGAACATGCAGCAGGCCTACTGAATTCATTTTTTTTACAAAACGAATTACAACACTAAGTTAATAGGGGAAACTTTAGAATGCTACATACACATCTGAAAGCAGGCAATTAGGCAAAGCTATTTTTCAGGACTGTTACAAAGAGAAACAACAGGATTCAAAGGTAGACGAGCACACAAGGACAGTTCAGGGAAATGGAAACAGAGGCATAACATGTAGGGATGGAAATGCCACCTCCAGGTTTGAAGGATTGTTGTTTTTTGGTCATGGAAGTAAAAGGTGAAATAGAACTCACAAGGCAGCAAGTTCAATGGCTAAGGACCCTGGTAACCCTCTGCACTGCTCTTCACCCTTAGCAGGAACCCGAAAGCTTATTTGCTTGACAATGAGATGCAAAGCCATGGCAGACTGAATGAGTTCTCCTGGGTGAGCCTGAACATCTCCCCCTTTCTGGAAAACAAAGGCAGCCTGGGAAAAGCCCCTTCCTCACTCTTTCCAGCCTTTCGGCAGGGTGTTTGGTTATCTTCAGATGATGAGCTCTGAGAGTGTCAGCAGGTTTTGTACAAACACAACTGATGGGTCTGATGGAATGTCCATGTATTATGGTCAGCTCTACCTGAAAGGAGTACCCTTGATGTCTGTGTAATAGTAGTCATTTGTCATCACCAAAACCCGTTTCTAGATTGAAAAAAAAAAGTCGTAGAGAAAAGAAAACATGGTTAGTCTGCTAGGTGAAGTCTTCAGAAATAAATAAAAATAAATGGACACACTATGATCAGGTTAACAGTACTACATGAATCTTGTTTGAGATAAGTAAAGACAAGAGAAAAATGATCTCAGCGAAAGATATTTATTCCAGATATAGCTTTCAAAGCTAATTTTTCACAGTGGTTTGTTTTAAATTAAGCGGCAAAAATGTTTGAGAAAAATGTACCCCTTTGTCCACTGTCTTCTTCACCTCCATGGAAAACTTCCCCGTCTTTCGATTCACCATAGCATTTCTCAACTAAAATGATAAAAGAAAAGTGTGTTAGTTCTTCCCTGGATTATCACGTGATCTGGACACCTTGCATCCTCAGTGTGCAGTACAGCGTCCATATTGAACTCACACCTTGAAAACAGAGCTTCTGAAAAATAAACAGCCAACTGCTCCTGTACAATGTGAGACAGGCTAACAACACTAAATAAATAATCTTCGTCTTCAATTTGGGGAGCTCATGTAAACTTCAGGACAATAACAAAACAGCCTCGACAATATTGATGAGTCCCGTGGGTCAGAGAGTGAACTCCTGAAAATCTGCTAAAACAAAGAGCAAGAATGTCTCCGGGGACAAGGTAAGTTTTCAAAAGGGGTACTGATTTGTCATGGAGAAATCACTTTTCAAAACGTAATCGAGTTAAAGGCATTTTCCTACACAGTAGTTAAAAAGAAAAAATAAAAGGCCAAGCATTTGGAAGACAGGGATTAGCCTTTCCTAAGATGAATCATCTTTAAATGCTTTCTGAGAAATCTGGGCCAATTAATGACCTTGCTGATGAGGCAGTGAACAGGAGCGACCCTGTGTCTGATTTTTGGAGGTCCCGTTTAGGAGCAGTGAGTCTGTCTCTCCTCCCCCACCCCCGGCTGACCTCATCTAATTACATGTGGCCCTTCCGTGAGTTCAGAGGAGGACAGCAGACGCAGTGATGAAAGATGTGCTGTCATGGGCACCAAGGCAAGACAACAGAGAAGGCCAGTTAATGGAATAGGAGCAAATGCTGACATGCCACAGCCTGTCAGGAAAGGCTCTCTTCCCACCCCTGTCTTGTCTTTTTCATCTTTCTCCGTCTTTCCTCCTTTGAGGAACTTGAGTAAGATCTGGCTGATAGAAAACTGCAACACTAGGTAAGCAACCTAAATTTGATTCGAGGCTGTGTAGATTTGGGTTTGCGTTCTCATCTTCTGTGTGAGTGAGTGAAAGCATAATTTTTAGCTGGAGGCATGTATAAAATAAAACATATATTTTACTCAAGATTTTTTTTAACAACACATAATGGGCATTTCTGGAAATATTTTCCCATTTTAACTTTTGTGGTTTTGGACAGGGAGAGCTGGTCCTAATTAAGTCTACTTTCTAACTTTTAAGAACGGCTCGATTTATCTTTAACATGGTTTTCATTTTTCCTCTTTCTGGTGCCTGCCTAAAGCCATTTGGGACCTTCTCCTTTCACATTCCCCAGGCAAACTACAGATTAGGTAAGCCTCTCTGTGCCCCCATGCCACCCCGCCCCCAACTCCCAGTAGCACAGAACAATCAGCATGGGGGTCTGGGAGTGTCCAAGGCCAGGGTCACTGATGCCTCATTTAGTCTTGCCCTTTTCTTAAATCATAACAAAAACAGGTTATACTTTTTTTTTTTTTTTTTTTTTTGAGACAGAGTTTCACTCTTGTTACCCAGGCTGGAGTGCAATGGTGCAATCTCGGCTCACTGCAACCTCTGCCTCCTGGGTTCAGGCAATTCTCCTGCCTCAGCCTCCCGAGTAGCTGGGATTACAGGCACATGCCACCACGCCCAGCTAATTTTTTTGTATTTTTAGTAGAGATGGGGTTTCACCATGTTGACCAGGATGGTCTCGATCTCTTGACCTCGTGATCCACCCGCCTCGGCCTCCCAAAGTGCTGGGATTACAGGCTTGAGCCACTGCACCCGGCCAAAAGCAGGTTATACTTATTGAACCTACTTGTGAGGCAGATGGCACTGCAGTTAGGGAATGGACTCTGGAGCCAGAGTTTTATGATCCTGGGCATTTGATCACTTACCATCTGTGACTCAGTTTCCTCTTCTGAAAAATGGAACTAATGCCAGCACCCATCTCATTAGGCTGTAGTGAAGGCTGATGAGTCAATATTTAGAAGACTGCCTAGTACCTCCTAAGCGCACAGTACTTCTCTGCTAGCCTCCATCATCATCATCATCATCATCATCATCATCATCATCACAGTCAACAGCATCTTTATCATCGTCATCCGAATTACCATCTTCCTCATTTTTACTCAGTGTCAAGACACCTTTCAGTAGCTTAGGAATCAGGATGCGGACTCGAATTTGCCTGACACAGACACCCAAGCTCAATGTTTTCCAAACCTTTTTCACTTTGAGCCATGTAAAAAATACATCGTACTCTGATGAAGCCCCTCTCTATCTCCTATTGTAGTAGATTTTGCTGCTTTTATTTGTTGCTCAGGAATCACTAAATGGATTTTGTGACCTCTCTCCCGACTCCCCACATTGAAAACTGCTGCTCTTAACTGCCTGTGGGTTTGCACAGATCGAAAAGGAGACAGACCCAGGTAGAGAGGTAAACCACGATATCAATGCTCAAGCTTTGCCGCTGACACAAGCCAGCTGTCCTGTGACCTCTCTGTGGCTCAATTTCTTCCTGTTTCATTCATTCTGCCTAATGAGTGAGGACTCCCAGACCCCAGAGATCCTGTCAGGTGCTATAAAAACAGTGGCCATCAGATTCCTATGAAATTCAGATACTACTGAGAGATACTGTTTACTGAGTTCTTACTGTGTGTCAGGCACAGATTTTAAAACCCTCAAACTTATCGTCTGAGGTGCTGTTATTATCCCCATTTTACAGGTGAAAAAAGAACCAAAGAAGACAAGAAGTTTGCCTAGGGTCACGAGGCCTCTGTCTCTTGAGCCTGTGCTCTTAACCTCTGCTTTCCAAATCAGAAGAGAAAGCACCTGGACAAAATTATTTTATAGCATTAATATAAAAATCATATATTATTTCCGAACTTTAAAAAAACTCAAATAAAATGTTTTAAAAATTGACCATGTCATACCCTGAGGTCTTAACTTCCTGGCAGGCTCTTCTACAAACTCTAAGTACTGTGATCTGGGCCTGAGGGGTCGATGATATTCTGTCTTCTTTGCCAGAGGAAGAAAGGGAGGTTGATGATTTAGTAGACTATCCTGCGAGAATACAGCATTGTGAGGCTGGAGCATTCTAGAAATGTCACTTTTGTATCTTAGGAGGCTGTGGCTTGAGAAGATGAGCAACTTGCCCAAAAGCACAGTCAGTGGCACCCCTAGGTTGCAAGATAGCAGAGGAGTCCTGAGCACAGGCCAGAGTGATGGGGAAGATCAATGTGATCAGTCCCCAGCTAGGGCGGGCAGGGTGTGATGTTCTCTGCTTTGAACTTGCCACTGCCTGGACTTACAACAGTGAACAACTGGGAAAATGCAAACAGCCTGGCAGAGGAAAATTTCCAAACCAGTTTTGGTGTGCCCATATGTTAGCATATTATGTAGTCATTAAAAATTCCATGTGCAGCTGTTCAACTTAACACACAGAGAAAGGCAAATTAAAATATCAGTGGTATGCCTTTATTTTTCCATATCAGATACCAAGCACCTGCAAGTGTGATAATGCAGTGGACATGAAAGCAGCTTGCGCCACAGTGTAGTCAATAAAATAAAAGGTAAAACCTCCTCAGGCTGAAAATACCCGTCTGGTGACAGTGATCAGCCTCTCCGGTCTCTGGGAATGACCCTCTCCCTTGCGCCCTGCATCGTCCAGCTCAAATGCACTTTTCCAGAGCCCCTGGTGAATCTGTCTCTCTTGTGCAGTGCTGAAGCCGAAGCTGCTGGGATAACCACTCAAAGCACCCACTTTCCTACCAACCTCATTACCACTGGAAGCCATGTTTCTTGTTTCATTGTTAGCCTGCTAATCTGACCACCCATGTTAGAGCTCATTAAGGAAGCTTTCTCCAGAGATTCACCGGCCACCTTAAGTTGTGTGTATGATTTTGGAATGATAGCTAATCCTCCTAATGGTGGCTCACTGTCCACATTAGAACATTAGCCTCACCTTTTCTGGTGCACAGGCAGCCTGCATTTCTAAGCCCCTAATGACATGTAACCATGGACCAGCTGGCAGATTAAAGAGGAAAGGAGATGCTGTGGATAAACAGGTCTGTCATTTCCAAGCAAACATTCAACCAGCATATGAAAACAGACTTAGTTAGATTCAAAGTAGAATCTATGGGCAGTATTCACAATAATACCATGCAGACAAATATCTGTTTAGCAGCTACTATGTGCAAGGCACTCCCCATCTTTTCTGCATCCCCAGAGGAGGATAACCCATATACTATGAGTCACTGAAATAGAGTCTTCAAGGACTCCTGGACTTAATGACTTAAGGGCTCTCTCCATGGGATATCCAAGACTCAAGAGCATGGCTCTGTGGGCCAGGCTGCCTGAGTTGGAATCCACACTGTATGTCCTTAGACCATTACATCCATCCTCTCTCTCAGTTTCCTTACCTGTAAAATGGAGGTAACAAAAACACCCATTTCATAGGTTCACTGTGAGAAATAAATAAGTTCACTCATGTATATCACTTAGAATGGTACTGGTGTATAAGAAGAGCTAATATATGGCAGGTATCATTTATACGAGGTTTTTATATTAATAGAAATAATCACGTTCAATGTGGAAAGCTTGGGAATGACTGAAAGTTAATAGGAACAAAACAAATCATCCTCAATTCCTTCTGCCATCTCTGAGAATTTATAACCAAATGATAAATGCTATTTTTAAGATAATTTTCCATTCCCAGAGGGGAGCTACACTGGTTAGGTGATGCATGTCTCAAAATCCCCTGCTGGCACATGGGTCCCCCAAATATCTGCCCTACTTACAGTATGGCTGACGTGATGCCTAACTCATCCTGCAGAGTGGGACAGAAGTCCTGCACATACTCCTCTAAATAGTTTAAAATTTTTGTCTTTTAATTTTAGCCAGTCTATTTTATATGCATTTTAACAGTAGATATGAACTTACATCATTTTGGGAAGTATGCAAGTTATAACTGTGGTTATTAAATTCGGGAGCCTACTTCCTAGAGAAGTCGACCTCACTTTCCAAGACATTCTCTGCATCCGGGCAGACTCTACTGCTTCTTCCTCAGCGGGCTGTGCTTACATGTGCTTGCCTAGATTTTGACCTAAAACCCTGTCCTCTGCTACTCAGGCGCAAACCCCAAGGGCCAGCCCATGGACATGTGAGATTTTGTGCAGACTTCACAATGATGCTTTCTGTAGATTCCAGAATTCTCCGATTAGTGATGTGCAAATCACCAGGAGAGAAATGGTGGTCTGGGTTTTCCCAAGTCAAATATGTTGATAGAGAAGGAATTCACATTTCAAATGCACCATGCTCCCAAGGCAACAAGATGAGAGAGCCAAACCGAAGAGATAACCAGAGACCAATCTATGTGAAACAAAAGCACTGGACTTGCTTGAGAGATGGGAACTCTGAAGTTGGATGAAGTTGGACAGACAGAACACAGTTCTGGGAGTCACGTGGAGGTGAAGAACATGCACATGAGGCTGAGAATCTGATGTCTGTAGCTCCGATGAGAAAGGGAAGTAGGATGCAGAGATAAAAGGTGTTCCCAAACTGTGATGACTAAAGGAGGTATTTGCTCACTGAAAATCAGTGGGGACACAGGTGATGACTCGAGTGAGCTGAGTCATACATGTCTTCAAGTAGGATGCAAAAAGGGAGAAGGTTCAGTGAGGTCACAAACAAGCAAAAGAACAAAAAGCAACAGATAAAGTGAAGAAGGAAGAAGAACAACAATAATGGAAAGTCCCCTCCAAAGAGTCATAGCAACTGTAAGTCCAAAGGACATTAATTCATGATAGGGTCCCCTGAAGACCAATGAGGGTGAAAAGAACACTAATAATGGCTACCACCTGTAGAATGCTCACTGTGTCCCCAGAGTGATGTAAGCACTTTTCTGTTCTTTAATCTATTAACCCATTTAATCCTCACAACTGCTCTATCAGGTGGGGACAACTGCCATCATACTCATTTTATTTGGAAAAAATAAAACAAAGAACACAAAATGAAACTGAGGTCTAGAGAGGCATACTCACCTGCCCAAGACAGACCTCTGGCAAGCAGTGAAGGTGGGATTTGAACCTGGCAGGAGTCTAACACCTGAGCAGCACTCTTCACACTGTGCTAAGCCAGGGTGGGCACATGAGGTGCAGGACAAAACTAAGAACTGCCCAGATTGCCAAGACAGTGTTTAAGGAGCAAGAAGATAGAAAAGTTGACTATGCTATTGAGCTGACACCATGTCAGCCCATTGGTTTTTGGGGAAAAGTGTGTGGAGGAGGAGCTTTTATCAAATGGCAAATTATTTTGTCTAAACTTGAGTTTAAGTAGACTTAGTGCAGATGAAGCAGAAAAGAGGTTAAATTTCTAAAACAGCTATGGCTCTCACATTTTATGGGCAAGGATGAAAATGAGAGATTTATGCTAGCTGAGCACGTGACAGGGTGCAGAGGGTGTGGAAAGAAAAAAAGCTGGAGTGAGAGCACTGTGATGCTGGCCCCATGTTCTGGAAGGCATGACAACCCAGTCTGGGCTTTCAAATGGTTCTCCTCAACATCCCTTTGAAGAGAAGGATGCAGTGAGAGATGGAAACAATGCTAACTCAACAGTGGAACTTAAGAAAGGACCCCAGCCAGGCGCGGTGGCTCATGTCTGTAATCCCAGCACTTTGGGAGGCCAAGGCGGGTGGATCACGAGGTCAAGAGATCGAGACCATCCTGGTCAACATGGTGAAACCCCGTCTCTACTAAAAATACAAAAAATTAGCTGGGCATGGTGGCGTGTGTCTGTAATCCCAGCTACTCAGGAGGCTGAGGCAGGAGAATTGCCTGAACCCAGGAGGCGGAGGTTGCGGTGAGCCGAGATTGCGCCATTGCACTCCAGCCTGGGTAACAAAAGCGAAACTCCAACTCTATAAAAAAAAAAAAAGAGAGAGAAAAAAAGGACCCCAGACAAATCTGGGTGGGTAGGGCAGAGACACGTGGTCTTGGCACAGAGACACCCTAAGAAAAAGTGAAGAGTAGGGACTCCGATGGAAACACCTGGGAAGTTATGATTTAATTAAGGAGAGTCCACCTGGATTCACACAAAGGCAGCCGTGTCTAACAAATCTGATTTATTGAGGAAGTAACAAGAAGACTTGACCGGGTTAAGTCGTGGGCATAAGGAGAGCTTTTGATAGAGCACCATAGGCTGAAACTGTGTGGGGAAAAAGCATGGGGGGCAATTGCAGCAAGGCCGGAGCAGAATGAAAGGCTGGGAAGGTACAGGAAATGGGCAGCCAACCGAGCAGAAGGAAAGTGAGCCTGCAGAGCCCTGGGCTGCACTCTGAAAACACGAGCTGTGTCCATGAGGTCCTGACAGGTGGCCTGCAGGCACCCTGATTTTGTACTGGGCAGAGCCTCCTGTTGCCCAGCCAGGTTCCACTGAAGATGTCAGGCGTCATCCACTGTACTGGGGAGGAGGCTGGAGTCATCAGCTGTAGAGGGGACCAGAGTCTGTCAGGGGATGGTTTTAGTAGACTGCACAAGCAGCTGGGGTGGCTGGCCTGTCTGCAACTGGTCCGATGGACTAGCTGGAGAGTTATAAAACTCCACAAATGGTACAATGGCCCATTGTCTCCACGCCCCTCTGGTGGCCAGGTGTCCCTTCGGTGGGCCTCTTGGCCAACTCCTGGGATCACCTCGAGGTACAGAGGTGGGTACAACTCCATCTCCACAAGGCCTGAAAGCAAATCACTTACCACGTCATCGCGGTCTTCCCACTCCACCTCAGAGAGGTCAACACTACTATAGTTAGGTTTCCTTCGCTTTTTTCCTTCTTCATACTAGTGAGGGGGAAGAAGAAAAAGAAAAGTCCGTGAAGTCATCAGCCAGCGCAATCTTATCGTCTCGAGTCCTGTTTCACGGACAGGGCTTGAGAGTGGATCCATGTGGGTGAGAAGCCCAGCAGGTTAACAGTCCTAGGGGCTTTAACATCAGGAAAGCCGAGGCCAGATGCTTCTAAACATTTGCTCCAAGCTGGGGGAGTAGAAAAGTTAACGCTTTGCTTAATATGAGTTTACCTTGTAGACTCGTTGGTTCCAAAAACACCAGATACAAAGAAAAATGTGTCCCCTCCTTGAACGGGGGTGGGGTGTGTGCATATGTACATACACATAGATCGTATACATGTAAACAATGTAAATTCTGTAAAGATAGCCAATTGGTTAGCAGCTGGAGTTGTCTTCCTATTGAATGGTGTGTGTGTCTGCGTGTGTGTGTGTGTGTGTGTGTGTGTGTGTGTGTGTGTGTATTCCAAAGCTGCTAAAACTCAATTCATGACACAAGAAATGGCTTCTTACTTAAAAATTCACCAAAAATCTAGCCATATCCCCCTACACTTTATAATTCTCCCTCCTCTACCTTCTGTCTCAAACCTACCCCAGACTCCTTGGTGAGGAAGGAAAAGCACAGATCCCCACAGCTGGGGCTGGGCTCGGCATGCTGGTGGCATCTTGCAGTCACACAGAACCATCTCTTTGCTGCCACACTGGCCACAGCAGTACTGAACTAAGCACGGCTCCTTTACCTGGTGTGGATGAGAGGCTGGGGAATCACAGCCAGATTTAATGGCTGTTAGGGCATTTCTCCAGAAAAGTTGATGAGCGCATGAATAACTGGGGAAGTGCTTCTAGTTTTCTCCCCTAAATCACTGGTGTTAGTCACCCCGTAAGCCTACCATTTTATCGGCCGGACGTTCTTGTGTCTGGACGTTCTTGTCTTGAGGCCTTTCACGCTGGTTGTGGGGTGTTTATAATGTAGGAAAGTCTGCCCTCTGCTGCAGGCTACGGATTAGCAACCCCTTTACCCGTTCATCAGATGTGGTTAACAGCACACTGGAAACGTATACATGCATATATACTGCTTTCTTTTTCACTTTTCTCTCCAGATCGGTCATCTTTTGATTGAACCGGAAGGCTCTAAGTAAGATGCAGGGTCAGTCTTAAGTGTTTTAAGACCCCAAAACCATAGGTTGCCATTTTGGAAATGATCGGCTACTATGGTGACAGGTGCTGAGGCCACACTGGGCACGAAGGAGAAAACCGCACCTGTATATTGAACTAGAGAAGTGTAAACTGACTCCCGGTGTGATGGGGGAAGGGCCAGAAGGGATCGATCTTATACCACTGTGGTGCCAAACAGGGACGAATGTCCAAGTAATGCACTTTTCTTCCCTGTCAAGTGTATTTCAGGAACTCTGTGACCTCTCTGGAGAGTCCCCTCCCCTCCCCACCACTACCTAGGATGCTGCCTGGCCTCCTATGGCCAGTGGGCTCTTACCACCCTGACTGATGGTGAGCGCATCCCCTACTCTTAGGTTTTCAATGAACAGACATTCACAGTCAGTTTTATGACATCAGATCTACTCCAGATGAAGGGGAAGGAAAGTGGTTCCCTCAGAAGCTGCTGTAAACAATAGCAGATTAGCAGTTGGATCCTGTTATGGAAAGTTCCTGTGTGCATGGAGGCCCTGGCCCTTGTGAGATGCAGTCTTGGGCTGAGCAGAAAGAACAGGAACGAAGTCAATGGGAGTTGTCGGCAGCAGCGGTGCCTTGCGCCTCAGTGCAGAGGAGTGTGGGGGAGGGACTGTCCTGTCCCCCTGAGGACTTAGAGTCAGACAGCCGCTCTGGACCTCTGTTACCTAAGAACCATTACTGAGAGTTATTAGGCAACCCAGAAACTCACACAGCCCAGATCCTGAACTTGACAGGCAGAACTTCTGTCATTTCTTGGGTAGCCTGATGCTGGATCTAAACTGTCTATTTTGAGGAAGTTCTTTCTTTGGTTACTTCAAAATGCTTCTTTATTCATTGATTCAATACACATTTATGGGACACCTACTAAGTGCAAGGTACTAAAGATACGAAGTCAATTAAGCAGTGCTTTATTCTTTCCCAAGGACTTACTTGTAGTTTTTCCTTCTTAATTCTGCTTCTTTAAGACCAATGTGTTGCCCATAATGCATTTGGGAAAACAGGTTCTAACAATGTTAAATAAATTAAACAAGTTAAATAAGATTGCATAGCCAGTATGATAGAGGACACCCCACCCACGAGCAGCCCTTGTCTAAATTTTCATGTCTAAGCCTCATGTTATTTCAACCACTGTCAAAGAGCTTTTAAAAAAAGACTACAAGCTCCAGAGCAACAAATATTCCTTTATCCTCAAAAAAAGTGTCCCTGTGTCTTTTTTCAGAGAGAAGATCACAGTAGCTCTGCCATGTCACACCACTTACATCACACTGGGTGTGTGATCCTAAACTAGGTACCCAGCTAAGTGGGTAAAAATAACAGTACCTCCATGGCAAAGAAAAGTTGGGAGTAATAAATGAGATAATGCATGTAAAATGGCAAGCACATTCCCAGACAGAGAAAAACCTTTTAATACTCAGCTGGCAATATTCCTGAGAGTCATGCATTTTGTGGAACAACACAGGCTCACTTCATAGAATTGGCTAATATCTCATTTTCCTGAAATGAAGACCATTCAGTAACTTCACTGCTCACCATTCTGCAAACCATAGGCAGACAAGAGATGTTTGTTGAATACGATGGTGTCAGTCACATTCATATGTCTCTACCTGGTGTGTAGATTACAAGTTTGAACTGAAGTCTCTCCTGGCAGAAAAATTCACACTTGTGCTAAGGAGCCCAAGTCCTTTTAGATGGCATTTGGCAAAGATGGAATCAGCAGAGAATTCTTGACTTCTGATCCTTCCCAAATGTCTTTACTCATTTTTTTATAATCTCTCAAGAAATGCAGGACATTGCAACAAAAGGTATTTGAGATACTTGGAAGGATTAGAGAGTGATGGAATGAAAGACTTGCCATGACACTGGCCCGTGAGCCACCATATTCCAGCTCGTCTCTGTAATCTAATTTCACAGCAAGATACAGATGGGGGTAGGGAAACTTCCACTGGAACACTGTTTTAAGAATAATGCCCTTCTACAATGTCTGCTTAGCCAGGTATGTCAAATGGGTCTGAAACACTTTTTAATTGGGTCTTTATTAATGAATAAGCTCCTTTATAATATAAACAGGCATGCATCAGAGTGACTAAGTTGAGTGAGAAAAGTAAAAGTCAGTGGGCTGTTGTATAGCTAGAACAGACCAAGAGCTATGAGCCAACTCTAACATATGGAGCCTAAATCCACCTACCTCCTTTCCCCTACTAAGCAAGTATATTAAAAGGACAGAGAATGGCATTCTATAAGGAAGGTTCCTATGCTTCAGTCTGCCATCACCCATTCCCCATCAATCACCTCAGTTTTCCTGTAGGGAACTCCTTGGGTACCACACCTAGCAAGTATAATTCTAGTGAAGGAAAATCATCCTTCATGGGACCTTCTCAGTGAGGGAGGCCCACATCACTCTAGGATGTCACTGGTTCACAGGTGAGTACATAATCCATTCCAATTCAAATGAAACTCAAGAGATTCTATTTGGGATGCTTTCCTGGATTTATCCAGAAAAGAGGGATTGCTAAGATGGCAGGATAGGAACCTGTAATAGCTCATGGCCATCTCTGCCACTACTTGTAGAAAGTCTTCCTGGGAATGAAGCCAATGCAGGGAAAGCCGAGAAAAGATAAGAAAAAGGTCCTGCAAATGTGGTGTGTGCACCTGGATCAGGCTTGGATGTTTTCTATGTCTATACTTTCTCGCCACATTATCCCCCATTCCTTTTAAAGGCCTTATTTTAATAATAAGAAAAAAAGCTGGCTTAGCTTTTAAGCATTGAGTAGTGAATAGAATTCCAACTTGTATATATTTAGTGCCTTTTTCTTTTCAAATGAATTGCTTTTTAAAGTACATGTTATGTGAAGTATTTGCAAATATTAGTGCTTTCATGATCATGGAGGAACATGTGATTTACAAAATGCCTCCCTGCTCTCCAAGATGCATGACTGTATTTGAATACAATCGATCTCTGCTTGCCTACTCCCCTGGCCCCTCACCCCTATGAGTGAAGGTGGCTCATGCCTGTAATCCCAGCACTTTGGGAGGCCGAGGTGGGTGGATCACAAGGTCAAGAGATCGAGACCATCCTGGTCAACATGGTAAAACCCCGTCTCTAATAAAAATACAAAAAATTAGCTGGGCATAGTGGTGCATGCCTGTAGTCCCAGCTTCTGGGGAAGCTGAGGCAGGAGAATTGCCTGAACCCAGGAGGCGGAGGTTGCGGTGAGCCGAGATCATGCCATTGCACTCCAGCCTGGGTAATAAGAGTGAAACTCCGTCTCAAAAAAAAAAAAAAAACAAAAAACTAAATTCTCAAATGTCCAACTCCCACGCCCAATCTCCCCTCTCCCATGCAGTTTTAAAAGGGGACAAATTCCAGGTCCCTTAGCTCCATGAGTCCCTCTTCTTCTGCATGAGGAGTTGGTTACCGGGCCCTAAGCATCGCGTATGGCATTTGTTAGTGTATCTGTAATCTGTAACTTCCTTTCAAAATGTGATTAACGAATTGCAAACAGTTTCCAAAGGTTTATAAACAGATACTTTGAGAGCCACAGGTAGGTTTGTAGTTTTTGGTGCCTGTTTTATGAAAAAAATCTGTGGGGGAGAATTTAATAAGGAAAGATATTCTGTGCTATGAAATACTTTGAGGTGGAGTTTCAAATAAAGGCCAGATGTGGGGAACACACAAACAAGCGCTTGGCCTGGCAGGATGGGACAAGAGGGCACTCATCGAGGAGCAAGCTGGAACCAGGACTTGCCTGCAGCACAGAGCCTTCCTGGCCATATTTAATGGTCTGGATACCAGCCCCTTTTGTGTTACC